TTATTATTAGGTTTATTGTGCTTTGTGCCCTATTTTGTTAGTAGTGTTATTGTGCTGTGTACCCTAACAATCACCAGAAGCTATAGTTCACATGCGTTGAAAACTAAATATCCAGTAAATTTGCTGCTGATGATCGAAGGGCAATCAGGACAATAAACTACGTATAACACATAACTTATGGAAAAACAATTACTGATTTATTTAGGTGACGTTTCGAAGAGTATTCTCTCAACGTTTTCAAGCAAGTACTCATCGAAACGTCGCCTAAATAAATCAGTAATTGTTTTTCCATAAGTATGTGTTATAGTTTATTGCTCCACCAGTTACTAAATGCCTCTTAAAGATCGGTAATCAGGACGATTACATGTCTGATCATGTCATTTCGGTCACGCGTCATTTCGGACTCAAAGTTTTGGACTCGGGTAGGTGACGTTTCAGACACAAAGATAAGTTGATTTGGCTTGCGAGCCCTTTCACTGCAACACATTACTTTGGCACATGGTTCACCTAGACGGGAGGTCAGAATGGCCCACTCTGATCAATCGGCTTTGGTCATTTTTAGCTCTGTAGAATATACCCTTTCCCAGTTTAATACTCTGTTGTTTATTCACCCAGCATACAACCTACCTTTGTGTCCTAGTACATTCTACAGAGCGACGGCTTGGGGCAATCAGGTTAGACACTTCTTTTTTTTACTTGTTGGACCACTTAGCTGTTGTGAGAGTATGTTTCGTTGCCTAGCAACCTATCTTTAAAGAAGTAACCATATCCTGCTTGACGCCAGTGTTACTTTTTATGAAATAATAAATAACTTTTTCTGTTACAGAAAATTAAAGTGAAGTGATCTAGAGATAACTGTTTCAAGTAAAGAGGCATAGCAAATACATGTGTAGTTTACTGTTATATATTATGTTTAATAGTAAGTCCTTATTCAAGATATAATGAAACCATATAAATGTGATGTTTGTAATAAATCATTTACTCATAATGGTAACTTAAAGATACACAGCCGGGTTCACACAGCAGAATATATGTGCGATGTCTGTGGAAAATCGTTTACTCAAAGTACCAAACTGGAGAATCACAAAACACTTCATGTTGTACAGAAATTTTACAAATGTGAAATTTGTGATTATGAATCGAATCGCAGTGATACTATACAAGAACATATGAGAATACACACAGGAGAAAAACGTTTTAAATGTGATGTTTGTGGGAGATCATTTACTTCTTATAGTACTCTACACAGACACAAAACCATTCATTTGAACCAAAAACCCTATAAATGTGCTGTTTGTGGTAAAACATTTTCAACAAACAGTAATTTAAGGAAGCACAAAATAATGCATACAGAAGAAAAACCTTTTCGATGTGATGTTTGTAGTAAATCATTTAGTAGAAAAGATAGTTTCCACAGGCACACAAAAATACATTGAGAATAAAACGATTATAGATAGAATGTTTCAGGAGAGAAGCCCTGGCAAGGAAACCGATAATTGTCGACCTATGTAACCTCAGTTTTTTCCAGTATCCTTCCACTGCTAAAAGTGGGTGTTAAAATCTATCTCTATTGGGTAGGACGTCAATTCAATATGTATAAATTGGAAGTGCAGTAAGAGATCCCTGAGAAGTTGAAACTGAAAAAAGGGAAGGGGGGAAGACAACTAGGGTATCAAGTCTAGGAGTGCACATGTAACTACCACATTACTGATTTGTTTTTTGTTAAAATGAAATGAACATGGATTCATTAACCTCCTAAGGAAGACAGGATTTGGGTTAGGAAATGCCTATCTGAGTACAATACTATTTAAAGTGCATTCTGATATACGTGTAACTCACAGAGCTTGTCTCGTCAATTCAACACTTAAATTACGACGCGATGTCACCAGATATTACAGCTGTGCTCAATGGTGTAAATTAATGCGAGCCATTTTGCTGTGTATTTTATTTAGGGAATATTAAGAATCTAGAGCAATGGTTATAGATTAGAGAAATAGTTGTCTCACTTGGCTGTTTCATTCTTAAATGTTGTAAAAGATATATTTTAATTTGAATTTTGAGTAAGCTATATACCGGTACATGTAAGATAATGTAATATCATTTTCATCAATTTGCAGTATACATATACAACATTAATGATTTATTATATTGTAGTAGAGTTGAATTGGTTTCTGTACTTTTAATTTGAACTGGCTGGGCCTGGAAATCTAATGTAAATGTTTAGATTTTGGTATAAATCTATGGATGCACAATTTTGTTGGGGGTTTTTTGTTTTGTTTTGGTTTTTTGGGGGTTTTTTTTGTTTTTTTTTTTGGTTTATAGAAACCAATTATTCCATATTGCTATTGATGCTTCTATATTACCTTGAAAATATGTGATCATATATAATAGCCATTGGTTAAGACACAGTACACATTTTAAAATCAGTATGCGGCAGCATGTACTCTATGGACGTAATGGGCATTTGTAATTTATAAAAAAAAAAACCCATGTATCCCAGAGATGATGCAGAAGTTATTTAAAAATGTCTGATTCACAGATGACAAAATAATAATAAAAGTAAAAATAAATAAACAGGTGCAGGTTTAATTTAATTATTAGCCCAGTTCGGGTCAGAACAGTAGGACGTTAAAGGCTCAGTACCACTCTTGTTGTAACTGAATAATATGCCCCAATCTTTATTCTGGTCAACAAATTGTACTATTTTAGAATATTTCAATTAATTGATGATACAAATTTCATCTTAACACACCTTATTTAAAAATTTTGAAAAATTCAACATAATGGTTTGAAACGTCTAACGTAAACCTTTTGAAATGAAACTTTGATTTAAAAATATTTTCGAACCCTCTGGACAAGTAAAATAGGATGTAATGGATAATTTACACAACAGGTAGGACACTTAAACATCTAGTACTTAGATAGAGATATTATTTATTTTCTGGAGCTTTCAAGCCAGCAAGAGTGTTATTGTCCCTTTAAACCCCATTTCATTTCATTATTTAATTTATTTAATTAGAAATTCCAATAAAAATGTTAATATTGTCACTTTATGGACACTTTTTTGTGATATAGAGAGAGGCGCCATACAACATTGCATTGAGATGTTGATGTATTTAATTGGGTCAAGGACAGTCACACTGAAATTCAGTCTTACATTGGCATTTATATCCCCACTAATAAATAAAGGAACACATATAATCAGTTATCGGATTTTGTAGCATTTGCAAGGCTTTAAAGCAATTGCAGGTTGAAATTCTTTAAGTGGGGGCCCTCCATGGAAATCCTCATTAATTAGTATGGAGTTTTCATACTCGGTGAGTATAGTAGGTTATAGACATAACGACCCTATTTGGTCATAACGGGTGTTCGATCCCTGCATTGGCCGAGAAAGTTCATCCAGATTTTCCGGCGTGGTTTCCCCTTGTCAGGGATGCAGGACGGAGGGCCTGACAAGGACAGCTGTCTAGTCATTCGGATGAGATGAAAAACCGAGGTCCCGTGTACATATTGGCGTGCACGTAAAAGATCCCTTGACAGTTGGAATTCGATATAAGAGTAGGCCGTAGTGCCGCTGTCCGGGCAAAATTTCCCTCATAGCACACTGTATGGCGTATGCCCGTCTTCATTAGTCCAGTTCGGAGCAAAACAGTAGAACATTAAACCCCATTTCATTTTATCTCATTTTTGGTCATAACGGCCTAAATAATTGGTCATAACGTCCAAAATATTTGGTCATAACGGCAAAAAATTTTGGTCATAACGGCCATACAAATTGGTCATAACGGCCAAAAAAAACAAAAAACATACCATTTATTACATGTACAAACTGATATTTTTTAATATAAATATTGCATAATAGATAATACCATAATATAAATACATACATTACATAAACATTAATTTAATACGTAAATTTACATAGACATTTAACATAATACAAACTATAATATGCAGTTTTCTGGGTTTGCTTTGGTTGTTATGTCTCTAGGACTCATGATTTGTATAACTGTAGCACCACATCGATGTTTTGTTTAAATATTTTGTTTTTCATTCAATTAAAAATGTTTGGCCGTTGCAACTAAATTTTTGGGCCATTATGACCACACTCTTTGGCCGTTATGACCACACTCTTTGGCCGTTATGACTTAATTAGGGTCGTTTTGACCAAGGCATAGGGCCGTTATGACCTCATCCCAGTATCGTAATTTAGTTTTTATCACGTTCTGTCGTGAAAATCCCTGCTCACAGTACTAGTCAACACTAATAACTGGTAATACTCTCCAATCTCCATAAGGCGAATTATATTATTAGGATAATGGTCGGCCAATCCTAATACTGTTTAGGGGAGTTGCATGGCCGAATGGTTAGCACGTGCGCGCTGTATCATAAGGTCTGTTATAGAGTCAACTGTATGGTTTCGATTCCCCTGTTGTACTTGACAAGGAGTAGGGTCACCTGTCCAACCTCGTGGGTTTCCTCCCACTGCTAAAGACCCCTACGCACAAGCAAATTATTGAAATAAAATTTAACCAGGTATTAGTCCCCAATTGACCTAATTTGTGTCCAGTTGACATTAAACTCTCTCCCTCTCTCTCTCTCTCTCTCTCTCTCTCATACTGTTTAATGTTTTAGCATTTCGCTATAAAGCGCTGGATAATTTTCTTTCATCATCGTCATGAAGATAACCATTCTAGCTCCGCACCAGTGGTAAACGAGTCTCTGCTGCCGCAAAAGTTTTCAAATGTCAGCAACTCGTTTATTCCAAAGGTTGTCAATTTCACTTATTTATAATTTTTTAATTATTTATATATGAAATAAATGAAATTTTTGTTATGCTTAGAATGTGCATATGTAGGCTACTTTTTGCAATTATTTTGGCGATATTAGCAGAAAAATAATAAACGCTCATGTCGGTGTTAGTAAATTGAAATAAAAATGACTTTTGTATTGATCAAAGTGACAAGCGTGTTAATAAAGGTATCGAAAAATGAATAATCTTTTAGTACACTGAACAATGTTAGACTAGAATTTAGTGAGTGTTTAGGCAGTGGCAGTGCTCATACTGGCTTCCATTTTTTTCTCCGCCAAAATGGATCATAATGTTCTTTATAAATATTATCCCGCCCCCCGGAATATAATGTGGCTCGTATACTCAGATGTGGGTTACTCGTGTTGATCCTTGTCTTAAATGTATATTCAACCGCATCTATGTTAAGAGCACCGACTTCCGATTGAACAGAAATTCATGAATAATACTATTCATTCCCTACGGAGCTGTGAGTGTAATGAGACCTACGTACAGAGCTGGACTAGCTCTACTCATACAGTGGTTTCATGTTACTTGAAAATACAGAAAAACTGTTTGGTAAGATAAGATTAAGATTTCAGTGTTCCACTCTTTTCACTATTTGTAACATAATTACTTATTTCCATGCAAACTGTGATGATATGTGTTGAAAATTTTGCAATTGAACCTAATTTTACATGCTCAAAGCCTCGAATAGTGTATCAATTGTAGCTGTGAATAAGAATTATTACAGCTACAAATATTGTAGCTTTTTATACGGTATCCAGACCACTCGGAGCAAGACTGGGCGGACCAAAAATGAGACCAATCGGACCAAAATAGAGACCACTCGGACCAACCCAAAAGCCCACTCGGACCAATATTTTAGCTTTGCTGCTCGGACCAACATAAAGACCACTCAGACCAATTAATCTATATTGTAAGACCACTCGGACCAATATTTCGCTTTGTTACTCAGACCAGATATATCTGAAAGTTAAAAAATATCATGTCTTAAACTGCGATTACGATGTTTAGATATGTATTTAACAAATAAATGTACATACCAGTATTGCAGGTTCTATGCTGCCATCCTTGTATATCAAAAAGTCATCTATAAATATAGGAGGTCCAGCTGACTGATGTTTGGTGTCATCAGTACAGATAGAAAAAAAAAAGTGGGGAAATATTGTTGTTGTTTATTACAAATTTTTGCAAAATTAGGAGTTAAATTCTATTTTTTTTTCTATTTTCAGAAAACTAAAGAGTTTGTAATAGCAGAATAAATATGAATCCTCAAAAAGATTGTGGTCTAAAACCTTTTTATTTTAAATGTTCATTATGTGATGAAAAGTATGATTTATACAGTAATTTAGTGGAGCACTGTAAAACACATGCTATAGACAAACACTATCAACAGTTATTACCCCTTTCTTGTGGGGTGTGCTACCAGAGTTTCAACTTTTATAAAGATCTGGATCAACACAGTAAAATACACTTCAAAGAGGGCTTCAATGTGGATTCAAAAACACAACTAAATTCAAAAGAATCCTATGAATGTGATGTTTGTGGTAGATCTTGTGCCAATGAAAACAAATTTAAAATCCACATGTGGACTCATAGTGGAGAGAAACCATATAAATGTAATATTTGTGGTAAATTTTTCGCTCGAAATGCTAACTTTACCATCCATATGAAGTCTCATTCAGTACAAACATGTCACATTTGTTATAAACCCTTTACTCAGAGTAATGAGCTAGAAAAACATTTAAAGACTGATCATGAAGAGAATCCATTTAAATGTGATGTTTGTAGCAAATCATTTACTACAAAATATAAACTATGTTTTCACCAAAAACTACATACTGGTATAAAACCTTATAAATGCGATTTTTGTGAGAAATCATTTACTCAGAAACGGTATTGCACTGCACATATTAATACTCATTATGCAGAAAAGCCTTTTAAGTGTGAAATTTGTGGGAAATCCTATAAAGTAAAACAGGAATTAGCTTTTCACATCAGGAAACACACAAGAGAAAAGCTATTTAAATGTGATGATTGCGGTAAATCTTTTCTAAGTAAAACCTATCTTAAGTACCATTTAAAAACTCATAACAAAGATCGTTGTTATAATTGTGAACATTGTGATGATACTTTCTTAAGCAAGAGTGGTTTAATATCACACAGCAAGGTCCACATACCAAAACCAAAAAAGTCTTTTAAATGTAACGTTTGTGATAAATTATTTTCCCAAAATTGTAATCTTCAACAACACATCAGGATACATACTGGAGAGAAAATGTTTTCGTGTGAGATTTGTGGTAGAACCTTTATGTATAGAAGAAATCTAAGACAACACTTTCAAACTCACACTGAGAAAAAACCTTACAAATGTGATGTTTGTGGTAGATCATTTACTAGGCCTCAAAGTCTAAAGGAACATAGCAGAATTCATACTGGAGAGAAACCCTATGGATGTGATGTTTGTGGTAAAAGATTTGGATACCTGTCTTCATTTGGTCTGCACAAATTAAACCATAAAGGAATTCAATCTGAGAAGTGTAAAATTTGTGATAAATTGTTTACCAGAAAAGACTATTTAAGGGTCCACATGAAATCTCATAGGCCAAACAAATGAATAAAACTTATACAATTGAATAAAACTCAAATCCCAATACTCATGTGTTACAAGGAGTAGCGTCACCTCTTAACCACATGAATTTTTCTCCTGGTTCCTATGATTTCCTTCCACTGTTAAAGATCAATATGAACAAGTAAATGATTGAAATACATGTATGTTATATGTTATTCCAAAAATGACCTAGTTTGTGTCGAGTGGACATTGAAAACCTATGTCTCTCATGCTTATGTAAATGTAGGCACGTAAAAGATCCCTTGACCATTGGAATTCAATATAAGAGCAGGATACAGTGTGATTGTCTGGGCAAAATTTCCCTCGCACAGCACATCAGCTCAGTTGGAGCATAAAAGTAGGAAATGGAATGAAATAGGGTTTAACGTCCTACTGTTCTGCTCCTAACTGGGCTAATGAAGACGGGCATACAGTGTGCTACGAGGGAAATATTGCCAGACAGTGGCACTACGGCCTACTCGTATATCGAATTCCAACTATCAAGGGATCTTTTACGAGCACGTCAGTGTGTACACAGGACCTCCGTTTTCCATCCCATCTGAACGACTAGACAGTTGCCCTGCATCACTGACAAGGGGGAACCACGCAAGAAAATCTGGATGAACTTCCTCGGCCAATACAGGGATCGAACACCCACTTAGCCACCGTGATCCCCCATAAAAGTAAGACCTTAAACCTCGTTTCATTTAATTTCATTTGGAAACTATCACCGCTGTTATTCTTTTACTCACTGGGGGAAAAAGTATGGTAAAGGAGTGCAGATTTTGTTTGTTTAAAACCCGCAGATCTCGGTTACTTTCGATATTCACGCATATCGGACCATAACTTCCTGAATTATTGTCCCTGATTGTACCAAAAATCGTGTTTTTAGCTTGTGGACCCCGTAGAGGTTTTAATTTTTATCCGATTTAAAAAAAACGTTACAATATATCACCGTTACACCCTAAGGACAGTTGAGTTCGAATTTTGTAAAAATTGGACCGAAACTGACGGACAAAATGACCGCCCCTCGTTCGCAAATAGTGTCAAAATGTTGTGTATCAGGGTTGTGGACCCTCTGGAATCACAATTTTCATCTGATTTTGATGAAACTTGAAATGCATGTTTATAACCCACAGATCTCGGTTACTTTTGATATTCGCGCATATCGGACCCTAACTTTCTGAATTTTGGCGTCTGATTGTACGAAAAATCGTGTTTTTAGCTTGTGGACCCCATAGAGGTAACAATTTTTATCCGATTTAAAAAAACGTTACAGTATACATGTATCACTGTTACACCCTAAGGATGGTTGAGTTCAAATTTCGTAAAATCGAACAGAACTGACAAAATAGCCGCCCGTGTTCGCAAATAGTGTCAAAATATTGTGTATCATTGTTGTGGACCCTCTGGAGGTCACAATTTTCATCTAATTTTGATGAAACTTGAAATGCATGTTTATAACCCACATATCTCGATTACTTTTGATATTCGCGCATATCAAACCATAACTTCCTGAATTATGGCCCCTGATTGTACGAAAAATCGCGTTTTTAGCTTGTGGACCCCATAGAGGTCACAATTTTTATCAAATTCAAAAAATTGTTTGAATATATCACCATTACACACTAAGATCTTGGTTCCTTTTGATAATCGCGGATACCCTAACTTAACTTCCTGGATTATGGGCCCTGATTGTTCGAAAAATCATATTTATAGCTTGCAGATTCTCTAGAGGTCACAATTTTTTTCCGATTTTAAAAACCGTTTAAATACATCAACATTCTACCATAATGAAGGTTGAATTAGTATTTTGTGAAAATCAAAATGAAACCGCCCGACAAAATGGCTGCTCTTCGTACACAAATTGTGTAGAAGTGTGTAATACGAAGGTTGTGGATCCTCAAGAGGTCACAATTTTTTTCCAATTTTGATGAAACTTAAAACATATCTTTATATCCCAAAGATCTCTGTCCCTTTTGATATTTGCACATTTCAGGCCATAACTTTCTGGATTATTGCCCCTAATTGTTAAAAAAAATCACGTTTGTTTTAGCTTGTTCTCTATCCATCTCTTGCAAACTGTGGGCGTATCCTGCCTGGCAGCCGCTGGTAATGTGGGTGTATTATGTTGGGGCTGTTACGCAACTCTGGGGCTGTACTCTGTTATAGTGTGCCAGGTTGATCTTGGCCCCTTACATGTATGTTAACTTATGTTAATAAGTCATGTGATATCCTACATTAGCACATCAAAGTTAGTATCCAACCTTGTGGGTTTTCTCCAGGTCCTCCGGTTTCCTTCCACTGCTAAAGACGCCTACCCCCAAGCGAATTACTGAAATAAAATTGAACCATATGTTAGTCCCAAAATGATCTAGTTTGTATCGAGTAGACGTTAAAACCGCATTTATCTGTCTCTCACAGAGTGTAAAATGTAATGCGGCAAATGTAAAATATAGACACATCAAAAAACAGCATTTTCCAATTAAACATTTGATACATTGAACTTGAGTTTCACATTTAACTTTAATCATTACCGGTAACAGGAGTTTGTACATTGTACTTTTTACATGGAAAATTGCATTTTAGCAGAGCATTTGATATTGGCAGCATATAATTTACATACATTATTTAAATCGTCCGTCTTCGTTAGCCCAGTCTGACGTAAAAACCCCACAATTTCTGCTAATTTCTTCTTAAATTCCGGCCCTTGATTACATTAGTAAAGCGAAGAATCTATTGAAATTCAAATTATATTGAGCATTAATTCGATCAAAACAAGAATATGGGTGTATTATATATTGGTCGATCTGGGAATATTATCTCAAGGGGCTTTACACCTTACACATAACCAAGAATCAGTTTAGGAGCATTTCGAACATCTCCCGTGCACAGTTTATACGTGGCGGGCCCTCATTGCCCGACGGGCGCAATAAACTTGGACAGCTGTAGTTCATATAAAACCATATTTATACAGTAAAAGATAAAAGCACAGGCCCTTGCAGATCTCGTCACAGGCCACGAGATGTAAATAGACATATTTACAACTTATGACCTGTGACGAACCTCACATCAACAGTTGTTGTTGTTAGTTAGTTGTATTTTACGTCCGCTTCCACCGAGGTGATATCACAGACAACAGCTTGAGCATTCCCCCTTATATCAACGTGACTGTGGAGCCAGCAAAAAACAATGTCCTTGTCAATATTATAGTATAAATGGAAAAAGTACAAGTATATAATGTTATACCCCTGTTGGAATGAACTCATTTCCACAGTTACCATGCCACTGAAAAATAAAATAGAAGAGTTAGTAATAGCAAATTGTTTACCTTTGTTTCGATGCGATACGTGGCTTAGGGCATAGGTACCGCCCTTTTTGTTTACACAGTGATGTTGGTTTATGGCTTGCCCATACATTCAATTGGTTTACACGGTTATCGAGGCCTACATTTGGAAACAAATTTATCAACCCAGATACATTTTTCACCCATGGATTGTCGGCCAGTATGGCCAAATATTTTCTGTGGTGATCCACTCACACTTCTGGTTTAGAAGGTTTGGAAATCAAGTGAATTTACTAAATCGGGGGATGCAGAATAAGACCTGAAACAGAACATACGAAATTAAAAGTATCACGCCCGAAACAGTTTCTGGGGGGAAAGGTTGATTCGTGTAATTAATTACAAGGCTCAAGATCTGGTTCTAAAATGTGAATTAGAATAATCGTGAATGTCTGAACAATATCCGCCGCTCGTATGTGTCCTTTCAGTCTAATAAGCCCTAGATAGAATGTTGCTTACCTCTGAACTCGGTTCTTCTACTATTGCACCATCAATGGCGCTTACATGTGGACGCTGAAAGACATTAATTATTTCATCTTGAAATACTTTAAATTAAAAACATATCAGTCGTTTATTTATTTATATAGGGCAAATTATGACTAGCTTCTTACTTTCGGTTCGTTTTGCAGCGGACATGGGCATTTTGACATATCTGTGCATGGAGACACCTTTCGGTCTGTATCCAGTGATAATCGTTTAGGGTCTAATATGCCTACGTACACGAAAATATCGTGGTTTGGTGCTGAAATGGAAACTGGCGCTACTGAGTGCATATTAAATATTACGGGAAATATGTAATAATAGAACCCATCCCCGTTTTTTGTTTTTGGTCTTTCCCATGTCAGCAAACGAGAGTTCGTCAATCTGAAGATATAATTCAAATTTTAAATAGTTATAATAAATTACCAGAACAGGATATACTGGTCGCTCTTTTGAGCTCTTTCAGTCTAATGAGCTGTGCATTAAGAATATGAGCTGACGTGCCATAAAACCACATTTCATTTCATTTCATTAAGAATATGTTGCTTATCTCTGAACTCAGACTGCCTTCATTTGAATCACAAATTACATCATCAATGGATCTCACATGTGAAGAATAAAAGACATTTATCAACATTTGCATCATTTTATCTTGAAATACTTAATTTAATAAAAGTTGCATCATTTTAACCTGGGTTATAATAGAACGTCATTATTTACATTTCAGATTGTTTTACAAACCTCCTAACAGGCTTAAATATGACCACGGACAAGGAACTTCGTCGAACATTATCACTCAATATTTTTTTTCGTTTTGTTTTGTAGGTAGATGATTCGAGTACATTAATCAAGTGTGTTACCCGAATGCATGTCAACTCGGACTAAAGACCACTCGGACCAAGATTTGAAGAGCACGATAGTTGTGATACCCAGACAACCCAGCCAAAGACCACTCGGACCAAACAAACACACGACTAGGGCCAATTATTTTATATTACAAGACCACTTGGACCAATATTTAGCAGGCTGTTCACAGAAACGATAGCCGAAATTTTAAAAATAAAATACTGACAATAAATATAGGCCTATTGTTATTTATTTATTATTAAAGCATAGTAATCACGGTAACAGAACAATATTATAGCCATAATTTACAGGTAAGTAACAAACATAAATGCCTTCGTTACTAGATGTGAGGTACAGGTTCATCTACTTGCTTGGACCATATATAGACTCATACTTCTTTAGTAGCTTCATTATACGTATTCCAGAGGTTAAAATGTTTGCCTTGTATTAATCGGGTCTGCCTTTTCTGGTAACGCGTTAACCTTTCTTCGGACACCATTTTTAATTTCACAGGCAACTGACTAGCCCCCCTTACACAAAAACGTTAACTGCATATTACCCTTCTTTGCGTTTTGGTTTAGGCGATTACGCCATTTTAAACATCATTAATTATTTGTATAGTCAATCCAAACACACTCAATGATAGTATAGGCCATACGGTACTTGTAATCTACTTGTCGTTGATGCAATTCAGCACTGCTTTTATCTTTGTCATTTTCATTCTTTTCTTCCAACGCTCTCGCATTGGTCATACTTTTTTAACATACATTTTCATTTTGAAGCGAGTGTCTCAGACAGAATGTGACCACTGTCATGTTCCTTTGGCAGTTAAACACATTTTGGTTTAGCTACGAGAACGTAACTAAAAACGCTTAGATATACTGATGTGCTTGTTTTTAGCTACGATTGGATGCCTTAAGTTCCAAAGTGGCAAACTCAATTTCTTTATTAATGTATGTACCGTCTTAAAAATAAGTTAATTTTATACTATTAGTACTTATTACACATACGCAGTCCAATCTACTGAAACAACATTCATTTATCAGCAAATATTGACAATAAAGTAAATCAAGCGTTGTTTTTATCAAAATTGATTCGGACGTTCATAATTACGCCGTATTACTACTGCGCAACTCTGATCAGATGGGTACTTTGATTGGCTATTGCACACAAGGCCCCGCCTTTATGTGTTACAGACGTAAATTTTAAATGTCGGAAAAAGCAATCTACTGTCGCTTCGATTTAAAAAGAGGGGATTTGTACCCGTTTCAGGTAGGAGAGAGAGAGAGATATATATTGGGTTTAACGTCCACTCGACACAAACTAGGTCATTTCGGAACTAACATATGGTTTAATTTTATTTCAATAATTCGCTTGCGCGTAGGGGTCTTTAGCAGTGGGAGGTAACCGGAGGACCCGGAGAAAACCCACGAGGTTGGACAGGCGACCCTATTCCTTGTCACGTACAACCGAGGATTCGAAACCACGCCAGTCGACTCAATGACAGACTTTATGATACAGCGCGCGCACGCTAACCATTCAGCCATCCAACCCCCCGTTTCAGGTAGGATTATATGCTTAATTGTAGTTGGGTGTGACAGAAATATTATAAATAACAATAACCAATCGTTTTTTTTTTGATTAAAAAATATTGTCAATTTTGTTTACAAATGCCGGGTGCGAATCGCTCCCGCATGCGCTACATTGAAGGTAATGCCATCATCTCTTATCATGAAACACGGAGGGTTTAGAGATTAAGGTTTGTTATCTAATTTTGGTTGAGTGCAAGCATCTCAAAGATATTAGACCAAATTATTACCGATGCCAGTCACTTCGTCAATTATTTTCTCAACCGCGGCTATACTGTAAAAAATTTTAAAAGGGACAAATTTTTATCGAAAATTATAAATGGTAGAGAATTATTAGGATTAGTTAAGATACTTGATTTCCCTTAAACATACATTATGCAAAAGCTAAATCTGCCTATTGCAGATCTTTTTTTAGGCCTGAAATGTTATCTACTTTAATAATTAGACATTAATTAACTGATCCGGGCCATAATCTACTCTCGATGGCATCTGGTCCCAAGTTCACAAAGCATTCTCAGACTTCAGTTGAGAAATTACTGAACTTTCAATCACTGCTTAGGAGAAATATCTAGGTTCCAGAAACACAAAACTTTGCACATAGTTTCTTATTGATGTATTTGATACACTGAAACTACACAAATTTTATAAAGGGCTATATATTAGTTAATATAATGCAAACAATTTTGAGTAAATTCTTAACTTAAGTCTGAGAATGTTTTGTGAACAGCGGGGTCTGATGTCTCAGCCATATTTTGATTTTATTTAAAAATGGAGGAACCAGTACGGTGGTTGCAATTATTGCGCACGTCTTGTCAAACCGTCAAAGGCTAATATCTTCGCTCCCATAGAGTAATTTGAATGACATTTTCAAATTATTATTCTTTTTACATTATGTATTTTCGAACTATTATAGTAGATTGGAGGCTAAGTGCGGGGGGGGGGGCACAAAACCAGGCCCAACATTTCTAGAGTAAAATTTTGCGTAGAATACGATGCCGAGTGGTAATCAGTCCGCCGTTGGGGCGTTTTCGAGATATTCTGGGTCAAAGGTCAAATGAGGTCATTTGCACTGAAAGTGAATGCGCAGCCGACACGCTGAAAATGATCGAAAGTAATCAACCTTTCAATAAAAATGTTAACTTGCTAAATTCACCTTTTTTCTTTGTGACCCCGGAGGCCAAAAGGTTAAATTGTCCGTTT